CGTTCTATGACCACTTATCAATGAGAAATCCGAGGCACTAGATAATGGGCATGAAGGAAGTAGACCCCCTGGACAGACTTGGTGGGATATCTTGGTTATCACATAAGGTCACAAACGTGGACATGATCAGAGAGTTTCACAGTAGAAACTTAGGAATAAGCTCAAAGGTGGAATCACTGGAGAAGAAAGGCTAATGAAGTGCCAGCCCCCTAGGCTTCATCCACTCCCTGGAAAGCCATCACCAGCAGCCTTGAAGAAGGCTTATTTTAGAGGACTTCCTCATTAGAACATGGACATCTCAATGGGCTAACGACATAGAGCATGTGACATGGGCTAAGGATTTTATCAACATAAGACTTTATCTTAATTTTTTCACGTCCTGGTTAGGTTTGGCAGAAGACGGGGATCTTCCACACAACCTCGGAACCGCAGGTGCACACCCTCATTTTCAGTTTTGAGTCAGTGAAGTTGATTTTAAATCAGTCACACAACAGTAAAATTGCTTTCACTTTGGGGGAGCTTGTTTGATTCCAGGTAGCATCCTCCTCAACAGCATTTACTAATATGCAATCTGCTCAGTTACTCAATTCCGGTTTTTCAAGAAGGTCTGAGAGAAGGGCTCAAGATCAGTTCATATCTCGCTTGCTTTGAAGAAACCCACTTATATTTGTTGAACCCAAGGCCCCTCGGTCCTTCCTGACAACAGATGCTTTTCCCTAAAGCACATCATGAGCTTCCCAGAGACACACTTTAGGAAAAGCTCTTTTATGGGATGAATAGAACACCACTTAGAGTCTGTTTATGCCCTTAAAGCAGAAGGTATATACCCAATATACTTCACACACACATAGAGGACAAAAATATAAAGCTTTAATAGAATTGGTGAAATTGAAACTCAAATCGATGGTCAACATATATATTTTGTCACAGTTCTGTATAGTTGAATTAAAAAAAAATTCTGCCTGGGACCAGACATCTTGAATAAAGTATGAATTTTAACAACTAACCTCAACTTAATACATAACCTGTGGGACTCTTATCAACAACTTTCTGTGTATTATTAATAGCAAGTAATGGTAATTTTAAAAATGAACTGAAATTTTCTCATGGGAAATAATTGAAGGAATATCATATCAGGAAGATAATGAGTTTCTATGAAAGAAAATTCTTGCCAATGGGAGATCAGACTAAGAGGCAAAGTAGTCAGGACATAAGAAAAATTTAACTTCATTTGAATCTTCTAATAAATTGAATCCTTGGAGTATTGGATGAAAAGCAGGGTCGCAGAATCCATTCATGTGTGTGTGTATATATACATATATATATATGTGTGTGTGTATATATACATATATATATATGTGTGTGTATATACACACACATATATATATGTATATATACACACAAATATACATTTACATCAATATGTATTAATATTCTAGTGTCATGTAACAAAATTAGCATACGTTTAGTGGCTTAAAACAACACATTTATTTATTTATTTATTTATTTATTATCATCTCACAGTTCCAAGGGTCACACGTCTGGGCCCATGTAACTGATTGCTCTGTTCTGTTTCATAGGCTGAAATCAAAATGTCCAGAGATGCAAACTTCTCTGAAGTTCTGGGTTCTCTTGTCAGCTCCCTGATTGTGTGTGTGTGTGTGTGTGTGTGTGTGTGTGTGTGTGTGTGTGATTTTTTTACAGATAGGAAATGATAGGGGTAGAGAGCTAGAATCATCGATGAGAGAGAAACATCGATCAGCTGCCTCCTGCACACCCTCTACCAGGGATGTGCCCACAACCAATGTACATGCCCTTGACCAGAATCATTCTGGAACTTTTCAGTCCGCAGGCCAACGCTCTACCCACTGAGCCAAACCAGTTTTGGCAGGTTTCTGATTGTTTAAAGAATTTAGTTCTTTGCAAATTTAGGACTGAGGTCCCTGTTTTCTTTAGGCTGGGGGTCACTGGAGCTCCTAGAAGTTGCCCTCAGGTGCCAGGCACGTGGCCCTCTCACAGTGTGGCAGCTAACTTCTCCCAAGGCCAGCAGGAGAATCGAGAGAATGGACATGCCCATCAACCCTAAGTTTCCTTGTTCCCTGTTGTAACCCTCCCTCAGGCACTGAGTGCTTCTCAGTCCCGTGGAGCCGCTTCTCTGCTTTCTGACCTTTCATTTTCCATAATTTTATATGTCCTTCCTTTTTGTTGGATTCTTTCTCTCAGAATAATTATTTTCAGATTCTTCTGTGCTGTGCACATATCAACAGTTCATTTCTTTTATTGTCGAGTCTGTTCTATTATTTGGATATGAGATGACATATTTAGCTATTTAGACATATGGGTTGTTTCCAGTTTGGGGCTATTACAAATAAAGCTTTTATGAGTATTCACGTACAAGTATTTGTATGGACATGTACTTTCTTTTCTCTTGGGTAAATATCTATGAGGGAAATGGCTCAATCATATAATAAGTGTGTTTGTAAGTTTTTAACAAATTGTCAATAGATTTCAAAGGGACTGTGGGATTTTTACATCCCTATCAGCGGGGCAGGAGGGAGAGTTCCCATTGCTCAGAAGCCCACCAGCACCTGGCTGGCAAGTTTCTGGTTTCTTTGGTTTTGTTTTGTTTTAGCCATTACAATACCTAATTTGTGGTGATTTACTTATGGTTTTAGTTTACTGTTTTAAAAATTATCTCAGCATGTCATAATTTGATGTTTTCAGTGAATGCCTCATATGAAACCTCAAAAAGCAATTGAAAGGAGAAAGTCCTGCATCTCATGTTAAAATGTGTGCTATGAGAAGGTAATAAACAAAAGAACAGACTTTGTGATCAGGGATTTCGGTCTAATGAGCCTGAATTGACCTTCTTTATCCTTGAGTGATGCCTATGCTGGCACATGTAGCCCCTGCCATCATAAAGTGATATTGAACTTATTAATAAAGACCTGTATTTTTAAAGCAAGGGTCCATAAACAGCATATGCTCTAAGTCCGTTTCAGCAAGGAGCCTGGCCACTGGCCCAGCCAGGTGGGCACAGAGTCAGGAAGGGGAGGACAGCGGCATATGGCATTTTCAATCTGGGGGTGACAGTGCTGCAACACCACCAGCCTGGGAGGTCCCAGATGAGGTTTAAAGCATTCCTATCATGTGGCTTCCATTTCAAGTGAAATAGAGCGAGCTCACACATGTCCTGTCTCGTTTCTCACACCATTGAGTTTATGGCCTGAATTGGGGCTATTTTTTTCATTCGGGAGGCAGCATCCAAAAGATGCTGTGATCAAAGACGCTGTAAAAGGAGGAAAATGCAGTCATCTGTCTTCTGGTGTGCATAGTTGTGGACGGGAGCAGCACCTCGACAGGGTATTACATCAGAGACGCTGCGGTGATCACTTCTGTTAAAAGCCTATGATGTCACCAACACAGAGAACTCTGGGGTATTGTCCCCAGATAGATTCTGAGTGAAGAAATCTAGTCCTAATCATTAGAAGAGTGACAAAATCATGACTTTAGTAGACGTTCAGGTAAAGCTGATGGTGTGGACACACACGGCTGCTTTCTGTCATACTGGAAATTCACTAATAAAATTGTAAAAATATAAAAGGGATAATTTTCCTAACCAGAAACCTGCAAAGACAATTCTTACTATGTCTGACGACATGACAGGGGTGAAGTAATGACATGCTCATAGACACTAAACAACTACCCCTCAAATCAGATGAGCCTTTAACTGGGATTGGAAGGGAACTGCACAAGAGACAGAAATTGATGGTGGTTTTCAGCACTCAGGTGCTGATAGTGCTTTCCTGGTGCTAAGAGTAAACACTGCGTTTTGACCTAACAAAGTGTAGCTTGGTCATATGATGATGATGATGACGGAAGAGGCTACTGCATCAGTGTTGAAGATGCAGGGAGGGAGGTGGGAAGTTAAGGGCTAAATCCTCATTTTCCATAGTGCACAGTGAATGGACAGTGCCTGGTGAAAAATTTATTATTCGTTCTATGGACTACATATCAAAATGCTTAACTAAAAATCGATGGGGGAAGGATGGAACAGTTCCCTGTTTTATAATACAGCTTAGAGAGCAGTTTATCTCTTATATGTATGTTTAATTTGGACAAATGTCACTTTAGAATTGTGGCCATATTGAGTGTGTTTTATGTTGTGGATTTTTCCTCTAATGAAACATCCTTTGTTGTCAAAGGGAGGAATCTCCATGTTGTGCTCTGTACAAAGTCAGACCTCTTATATTTGGCCCTATTTCTGGGGATATAGAGTTTAAAAATTTTGCCAAATGATTATTTTAATGCTTTGGATTAATCTTCATAATTGTAGCCTTAAATTCCAACCCCCAACACTCACTGTGCCAAACCTACAGATCTCTCTGCTCAGCTCCCAGGACCTTTCAACCTGTGTGCCAGGGAGAGATCTGGTAGTGAGGGATGTAAGGAGAAACTGACAAGTGCCCCTGAGATATTAACCAGGGAAATCTGGTGAAAAATTCTTAGCCACTAAAGGTCAATATCATTCGGATACCTGCTAGTCTGTCACTTTGAATCTTTTATTCCGGAGCTTAAAATACCCATTAATCGCAAACTGAACAAACTGTGGTTCAAAAAACAGGTAATGGTTCCATCATGTTAACTTTAATCTTATAGATAAGACACCTAAATTTAACATCTGAATAATTAGCCTTTTGGTCACTTACTAAGGGAAAGCAAGATGAATTATGGGAATCACGATTTTTATTCACATACAATTATATCCATTGTCTCATGTCCATTGTTGATGCAGAAGTTGCGCAGATCCTTTTGGAGTTGCCTTGCAAACAGAACATCCTCCTAAATGCCTAATGTAACCAAAATGGGCTTTAACTTTGTAGAGTAGCTAATGGGCATATTAAGAAACCAAGTGTTAGAGAGTCCTGTGTTTAGCTGGAGAGATGCCTGGCTCTATTTATGGTGTGTGCTGAGCACACCCCATGCCTTTTCTCTCCCAGGAGTACCAGCCTTGTAATACCAACCCTTGCCCTGAGCTGAAGAAGACCACGCCCTGGACACCCTGGACGCCTGTCAACATCTCTGACAACGGTGGCCACTATGAGCAGCGATTTCGGTACACGTGCAAAGCCCGCCTCCCCGACCCAAACTTGCTGGAAGTGGGAAGACAGAGGATTGAAATGCGGTACTGCTCCAGCGACGGGACCAGCGGCTGCTCCACGGATGGTGAGTGGGGGCTCCTCTGGTCTAGCCCACTTCCATGGACAGGCATGTGATCTTTTCTCTACTTTCAGAGAAGATCGAGGGGGTAGATTTTTCTTTCAATGACTTATGGCTTAGCAATCTTTCTAACAACACATTCCTCTAAAGCAGAACTGGCTGTAAGGCAAATTGATAGTAAACAGCCTTACTATAAAAATGTAGTTACATATTGAGATGGTCCCATGAATTCAGCCTTCAAAATAACACTATATTTATAGCAAGGACACAGTAGTTTGTGAGAGATTTATTTAGTATCAGAAAATATTACGGAATGGTCAGTGACCTTTCCACAATTCTTTTGGCACTAAAATTTGCAATAAGCCTCTATTTTATTTATCTCAAGATTGGACAAAGGAAACAGAAATGTCTCTCTCTCTCTCTCTCTCTCTCTCTCTCTCTCTCTCTCTCTCTCTCTATATATATATATATATATATATATATATATATATATATATATATATATATTTTTTTTTTTTTTTTTTTTTTTTTTTTTAGAGTGTGCCTGGCCAGCATGGCGCAGTGGTTGAGCATAGACCTATGAATTCGGAGGCCATTGTTCGATTCCCTGTCAGGGCACATGCCTGCCTTGTGGCTCTATTTCCAGCAGGGGATGTGTAGGAGGCAACCGATCAATTATTCTCTCTCATCATTGATGTTTCTCTCTCTCTCTTTCTCCCTTCCTCTCTGAAATCAATAAAAATATATTAATAAAAGAATGCAGCACATGAAAACCCTTTAATAGTCTTTGAAGTAAATTTGTCCCTTGTGCTTATATAAATCCCATCAATGACATTAGTTGAATGGGATAAGCTCTGGGGTGGACCAGAAAATCCACACTCTGCCTGGGCATTTCTGCATCGTTCTCCATCTCTTCTACCATTCTCATTTAATGTCACACAACCTGGCCAATTCTGAAAAGAAAACCCGTGCCCATAGATGGGTCCTCACAGCATGGTTTGGCGAGAACAGCAATAGTAATGATATCTTGCACCCAACCATCTCCCCATATTTCCCAGCACATCTGTGTTTATAATTCTTAGTCTCCTAACATGAGTGTGATAGAGAAAGCACAGTCACCATCAAGGTCATTTTTACAGAAAGAGCATTAGACTCAGGGTGGCTGGCCTTAAGGAACCACAGAGCTGGTGAGTCACTGCCTTGGACTGACGTAAGTTGAATTAATTCTTGGAGGTGCAAGAAATCTCCCACACTGCCCAAGGGAAGCTATTTTTTTTAATATGTATATTTTATTGACTTTTTACAGAGAGGAAGGGAGAAGGATAGAGAGTTAGAAACATCAATGAGAGAGAAACACCGATCAGCTGCCTCTTGCACACCCCGTACTGGGGATGTCCCCACAACCAAGGTACATGCCCTTGACCGGAATTGAACTTGGGACCTTCAGTCTGCAGGCAGATGCTCTATCCATTGAGCCAAAACAGTTAGGGCCCAAGGGAAGCTCTTAAACAAGTGGCTGTGAGTGAGGGCCACCAAGGTTCACGTCACAGAACTCCATGCCTCTTAGCACTGCCAGCCTGGGTGCTGGGAAGACCATCAGCAGCTGCTTCTGTCATACTGCTTTGCTGACATTAACTATCTAAGCTAATGACATAACTCTGTCCTCACCTCCAAACATGCTGCTTAATGTTGTTCAGCAACCAACAAGCTTGCTTCTTGTTTCTTTGGAAAAAGAGAAGACTGCTTTAGTAAAGAGTTTTGTGTGAATAAACACCATCCACTTATTCCCTTATTTCAAAGCTGGTTGTGAACTATCTTAGTTTTTAGGATACCAAAGTAAAAAAGAAATAAAGAAAGAAAGAAAGAAAGAAAGAAAGAAAGAAAGAAAGAAAGAAAGAAAGAAAGAAAGAGAAAAGGAGTAACTGTTTTTCCTATATATTAACTTTATTCTCTTTTCTGGATATAGATTTTGTACAAAACCAAAGCTAATGTTTGTTTTAAGTGCTAGTACTATAAACTAAGGATAAATTTACTACACTATTATGAAGCATAGTGTATATTCCCTCCCAAAGTGTCCCCTGGGCATGGCTTAAAAACACTTCATCTTTCTTGTGTCTTAATGGCTTCAGGTTCTAAAGAGCATGCACACGTTTTTGGTATTGATATCTTGGAAATACAAAATTGGACTTGCTTGCCTCTGACCACACAAGATGAAGCTTAATTGTGAATAGTTGTTCTTTATTGATTAGCCACAAAGTACTGGTTCGTCACAGCAAGACATTTCTAATCCATTTTCTCCAAAGAGCATCCTGCTTTGGTTTCTGATTCAGTTTTTAAATAAACAATAAAATTACGTCACAATGGATAGAACTGTTGGTGCATTTGCCTTCCACACTTAAGCAGAACTTTGTGCATACTTAGAGAGTTTTTGGTCAATCTTTGTCATTCTGCCTACATTTGAGAAAATTACTGAATGTTTTCTAATATTGTACGTGGGTGGCATGCTCAGTTAAATGCACAGGAGTTCTGACTGTGGCTAATTAAATGAGTTACTAAGTGCAAAGTAGTAGACCTGGGAGCAGACCTGACCCACAGGTTTCAGAGTCTGTTTTTAACAAGACAACTCCCGACCCTCACCCCCACTATTGATTGCTGCTGCCTCCGTGTATACATTTGTTCTTGAGGAAGGATGTTTTGCTAGTAAGTGGGCTCTGAACTTCATGGGAGCGTTTGCTACAGGACAAGGTCATGCAGGGATGTGCTGGGTTCCGGGCAGTGAGCTCAGCCCCATTGCAGGGACCTGGAAGAGACACGTGTCTCCACTGCCTGAAATTCAGATGCATGATCTACACACCTTTCACCAGTCTCACTTCACTTGGTGAAGGTTAACATGGGAAGGGCCAGGTTTAAAAAATGTCTGAATCAGTTCTGTTCTTACATACCATATTATTTTATTAATTTTTAAAAATATATTTATTGATTCTTTATTTTTATTTTTTTATGGAGAGGAAGAGAGAGGGATAGATAGTTAGAAACATTGATGAGAGAGAAACATTGATCAGCTGCCTCCTGCACATCTCCTACTGGGGATGTGCCCACAATCCAGGTACATGCCCTTGACTGGAATTGAACCTGAGACCTTTTCAGGTCACAGGCCAATGCTCTATCCACTGAGCCAAACCAGTTAGGGCCAGACCATATTCTTGACAGTGAGTCCAAGGGCAGTGTGTTGAGGAACTCCCAAGGGAAGGGAGAAACTTGTGTTTTCTTTGTAAAAATTTTCTCAGAAAAACAAGTGAACTACAAATGCAAGGCCTAGAGCCTGTGTGAGGACTTCCTCCTCCCCCCCCCCCCCCCCCCGCCATTCACAAAGTGATGTCTTATTTGCACCTGTGACCTAATAACAAATGCAGAGAAAGACACGTGAGTGATGGGAGGTTAGCTCTCCACTGCTGCTTCTTTTGATTTTGGGTTTTGAAGGGCAAGAAGCATTCCGTTAAATTTGAAGGTGTGGTTACAGAAACACAGCAGGCCGCAGATACACAAGGGAAGTTAGACTCTGGTCACTTCAAGGACTGACACCTTAGCCTTTCCCTTGGCAGGTCTGTCTGGGGATTTCATGCGTGCCGGGAGATACTCTGCCCACACCGTCAACGGGGCCTGGTCAGCCTGGACGTCATGGTCCCAGTGCAGCCGAGACTGCAGCAGGGGCATTCGGAACCGGAAGCGCGTTTGCAACAACCCTGAGCCCAAGTATGGGGGCATGCCCTGCCTGGGCCCGTCCCTGGAATACCAGGAGTGCAACATTCTGCCCTGCCCAGGTGAGTGGATTGAGGAATCTGAAAAAAATCAAGGGCCTTGGAAAACCTGATGGAGGGGAGGCTCCACCGGCTTCCCTGGCTTTATGTTTACATACGAGAGAGAAAGAGAAATGCATATTTTGGAGATATTAAGGGTTCAGTTCCAAACCACTGCAATGAAGCAAATAATGCAATAAATCAATTCACAGGCATTTTTTGTTTTCCCAGTGCATATAAAATTTATGTTTACATTATGCTAGTCTATTAAGTGAGCAATGGCAGTAGGTCTACAAAAAACTTTGTACGTATATTAATTTAAAAAGACTTTGTTGCTTAAGAATGCTAACCATCATCTGATCCTTCAGCATGTTGTAATCTTGCTGGTGGAGGGTCTAGCCTTCAACTAATCCCAATAAAGCAAAGTACAATAAAATGAGGTATGCCTGCCTAGGCAGACTCACACATACAACTATATAAACCACAGATTATATCTTCCAACAGCATTGGCATAAGAACAGATAGAACCATGTATTTCTTCAGTTTACAAGAAACGGAAACCTCCTCATGAGCACCTGTGAGCATGGTCAGCCCTAGGCACTGTGCCTGGTGGAGAAGCCAGCCCTGCTGCCATGGTCAGGAGAGAGTCTCCTGTCCTTGAAAGTGGGGCCTGGCTCCCACCCAGGCTCTGATGGGCCCGGCCCTGAACTGGCTACTGCTCACCACAAATTCCTGTTCCAGGGAATAGTTATCAAGGGTGACCCACCAAGATGCCTTGGTCAGCAGGAGTCCACTTTTTCCTAAGTTGGGTTTCTAACCACTCATTCTTTCCTCTTGGAAGCTGTGTGTCTGGGTCTTCCTCCTGAGACCTGGCTTTTCACTTCTTGGAATATTCCCAAAGAAGCACCGAGTGCATAAAATGAGCTAAAAGAGTCCTGGGAGCCTTTGTCTTCCTGGACAGGGCCTTTTCTGCACACACTGCCCCACAGGCTCCCTGCCATATCTGCCCTCTCCTGCCGCAGCTCTGGGCGGGGCCCTCTCACGTGCATCTCTTCTGCTGACCTTTGCACTAGCCTGATACCTCAGGCCATCCGAGTGCTGGTCTGCATTGTGTGATGCCTCTGACTCGGTCAGAGTGAAAGCTCCAGGAGGGCAGGGGTTGTGATGAGAGTGTCACTCACTCACTGCAGTATCCTCACTCCCAGCACGGGCCTGACACACTAGGAATGCTGACCAGTCACTGTTGAAGGATGGGAAAGCAAGCAGTTGGTTTTTTATCTTTCTTCCTTCAGTCAGTTGATCAGCAAACATTTTTGGATAGCCTACTATGCACTAGTCACATGGTAAGAAAGATGCAGTGAGATTGTGCAGGTCAGAAGGAACCTACAGTTCAGCGAGGAGGGCATCCTGGAATAATGCCAGCCCCATATGGTCACCAGCTATTGGGCTGCATATATTGGATATAGATGCAGTGGTTACATTAGCTAAGGATCCTCTGAGCTAGAGTCATGGTCACTGCCCTAAGCAAGCTGCTCCTGAGCTGAGCCTGGAACGAGTTAGGCAAACAGACAAGCTGAGATGGGAAAGGGGGAAGGGATCATTCCAAACACCAGATGCAGTGTTTTTAAAGATACAGAAGCTTGAAAGTATAGCATCTCTTTCAGTAGGTATAAGCAACTTGCTGAGTTCTTTGAATAAAAAACTGGGTTGAAGCCATGCATTTGGTGGATGGGTAGATGGATTGATGGATCATGGTAAAATGATGTGGATGGCTGGCTGGATGGATAGATCAATGGATGGATGGATGATGGATAGGTGAATAGATAATGGATGCATGGGTAATTGAATTAGTAGTTGGATGTTTAGATGACAGATGAGTGAGAGGATGGATGGACAGATGAGAGATGGATAGATGGATGGATGGATGGATGGATGGATGGATGGATGGATGGATAGATGGGTGATGGATGAGTGGATGATGGATGGGTGATGGATGGGTGATGGATGATGGATGGGTGAATGGATGGATGGGTAGATAGACAGATGATGGATGGATGAATGGTTAATGGATGGATGGGTGGATAATTGAATTAATAGTTGGATGTTTAGATGTGGATGGATGGACAGATGGGAGATGGATGGATGGATGGATAGTGGACTATGGATGATGAATAGATGAATGATGAATGGATGGATGTATAAATATGTAGATTAAACTAAAAATACACAGTTCCCAGCTTTGTAGTTGAGGTTCTCAGTAATGTCCCTGCTCATGCAGCAGCTTTGCTCCTCCTGGGCTGTCTTTGCCTAATTTCTCCAGCCTCAGGAGACTTAAGACCATCCAGCCTTCCCAGCCAAGTGATGCAGAGGGGCTGGGAAAGGTCACAGAGCCAGGATTTTCTCACAGCCCCACCACTGAGAGGGCAGGATTCTTCTCCAGGGCTGGGAGGGAGACCATGGGCGACATCATTAGATTAGCGTCGGTGCTTTAACTGAGCAGGCATGGTGACGTGGGAATGTCAGGCTCACTCAATGTCCTCTTGCCTCCCAGGCTCCAGACATGAGTCCTCATTGATGTCAGCAGAGCGGGCAGACTCTCCAGATTCCAGTATGCTGCCTTGTCCTTGAGAGCAGGCTCAGTGCCCATGTCAGAGATTTCCATGAGCATGGTCTGGTGGCTGTGTTTATTTTAGTTTGATGGTCAAGACGGTATCATGTACATATAACCTTCATATCTTGAAATAGCTGTGTCTTCATTTTCTTTCTGAAAGCCAAGATTCCATAGAGGGTTGTGAAAATATTCAGAGTTGCCCTCTTCAATTCCCACTTGGGTGTGGGTGGATTTGAGGGGCTGAGTTGGACAAATGTCAATTCGCTCTCCCACCTCCTAAAAAATTCCTGAACACATGAAACATGTAACTCATCAAGGAGGGGTCAGAGCCTTCAGGGCTCTGAGTGCAGAGCTGCTCAGCCATGAGGAGGTCCAGTTACAAGGCTATTTTTACCACTCTCCTTATGAATTTACTCTCCCTTAGCCCCATTTGGTCCATTATGTTATTCATAGCACCAATTTACATTTGCACCAACTGGGTACAAGGGTTCCGATTTGTCCACATCCACAACTATTGTCTACTATAGTTGTTGTTTTTTGACCATAGCCATTCTGACAGATGTGTGGAAATAATCTCCTTATGGTTTTGATTTGTATTTTCTCATCTATTAAGAATGTTGGACATCTTTTCATATACCTAGTGGCCATTGATCTGCAGATTCACTATGCAGTAGCAAAGTCCCAGATCTCCAGACCACATGGTTGTTCTAAGTCCAGATCCAGCACCCATCTAAATGAGGCATTGAAACTGAGCCCAAACAGCCTTGTGCACATTCAAACATCTGCACTCTGTGACACCTGCTATTCTGAGGCACTCTGACTTATGTGTGCCTTAGTGTGGGGTGTGTACAGATACCCACTTGAGACCAAGCTTCAGCTCAGTTTGCAGTGAGAATAGACATGGCAGTGGGTGTTTGAATAGTTTAAAGTTCTAGGCAAATCTCTGCCTGGCTTTTTTTTTCCCTGGTATTATAACCAATGTCAGATATTCATTCTCACTTTCTGACATGCTTATTGCCTATTAGGGAAAATGTTGAATTCTTCAAGTCTGTATAAAAATCACAAAATTCCCAGTTGCATGTCAAAGATTTTTTTTCTTTCTTTTTTTTTTTTTTACTTTTTTGCAAATTAAAATATCATCATAAACATGATGTTTCTGCTTATATGTCCCCAAAATGCTTTATTTTTATCTCTGCCTATATCTAAAGAGACATATTATGTTGTAAAAAGATGTATTAATTCACCATGGGTGTATTCACATATAAACTAGGTCATTCTACCTAAAATAGCCTTCTATCTTTAACGATTTTGGCATTCCCTTCCTTTGTTGTTTCTGCTTTATTTTATGAAGGATGTGGAGAAAATAAAACATGATACTATCTCTATATTGTAAAAGCAAATCTGCCGTCAGCTTTTTTATGCAGTTTGCTGTGGTTAGGATTGCTTTTGCTAATTGGAGTCTAATGACATCTTGACAAAGTCCTGCACCTTTGCTCTGGGACTCAATAAAACAGGGCAGGTCTGGCTGACAAGAGGGCAGATCAGTAGGGAGTTAGACAAATGGCAGATCATATCTGACAATGTCAGACAGAAGCCAGCGTGAGGTCTCAGTTTAACAAGCAGGAGGGAGTACCGAGAGCCAGGTGGGTCAGCTGACCCAGTGCTCAGGAGGCCCCTCCACAGGTATCAAGAGCCCAGCCTGGAGAAAACAGGAGAATGGCTCGGGGTCACGGGCAGGCATGGCAGTGGTTCATCAGGAACCAGTTCTGCCTAATGTCCGAGTTACAAAACTCGCCTTCATATCCAACCTGAAGTCTGGCTGCAGGCAGCAGGCCCTCCCTTTAGTCCTTCACAGAAACACACCATCCAGCCTGCACAGTGTAGACTTCATTTGGTTGTTTGGTGTCTGCATCTATGGAGCATCCCCGCAGTTCTTCCTCACAGGACCTGTTACCCTTTCTTTATCTCTCTGTCCTGGAGCAAATCCTAATCCCATTAGTAAGGAAGGCTGTGACTGGAACTGCCTGTCCTTGGCTATAAGCCTCCTCTGGCCAACTCGACTGAGTGGTTAGCAAAGGCGAGAGCAAATGAGGGCGTCACATACATCGCAGCTGAATGTGGTTCAAGGTCATTCCCAGGGATGGGGAATTTCTGTTGCATACACTGTACTCCTCTGTCATCCTCGTGCTTATATGTTATGTTTAGAGATATTTCCTGAAGGGACAAATCAGAGGATCCAAAAATGTGAAGGGAGGAATATGCAAAACCTAAACACCCTATGGTCAAGTGGCTTCTCGGATATGGTCCTGCCTGCACTCTATCTGTAGCCTCATCAGTTTGGTCAGCTTTGCGTTGTAGAAGCAGCTTGACTTTGTGTCTTTTCCCAGTGGATGGCGTGTGGTCTTGCTGGTCCTCCTGGTCCAAATGCTCAGCGACATGTGGCGGTGGACACTACATGAGGACACGCTCCTGCACAAACCCAGCGCCAGCCTACGGCGGGGACATCTGCCTGGGGCTGCACACCGAGGAGGCACTCTGCAACACGCAGCCCTGCCCTGGTGAGTGGTGGGACGTTGGGACACATGTGGCCTCTCCTTGACTTAGAAATGATGAACTGCTGATGCCACATCATCGGTACTGAAAGAGGAGAACACTACCACCCATCTGCCACCCTGCCACCTGGAACTGACTTCATAACACATGTTCTGCAATAAAATGGTTCTCAGCCTGGCATAGTTTCAGAACGAGTAGCTGAAACCTGTTATGACAAAGCCTTTGCAAAATATTTCATTAATCTCAGCTAATTAAATCTGAGATTGTGTGGTTGAGAATCAAGGTGGGGAGCATGGAGGTACCGAGCTCTGAGGCTGGCTGACCCTGGTGCCCCCTGGATGTGCCATCCAGTCTCCCCATCTGGAATTAGCTTCGTCTTCTGACTTGGAATGAAGATGACACCTAACTTTGACACTGAAACAGTTTTACTTTTTTTTTTTTTTTAATAACTTGTTGCATTTCTTTCTAGAAGGTTCCATGTGTATTGAAAAGTGCCTAAAACCCAAATTCTTATAGTCATTCTGAAAACTGACAAATTTCTAAGGGAAAATTGTACCCTTTACATGGATCTCTCTTCCCATTGGGTCAAGGCACAAGTTTGATTTCCAAACTCTCTGAACTACAAAGATAATGCTTGCATTTAAAAAGAGGGGGAAAGCAAGCTACATGGAAAACTGCTTTTATGTTGATTAATGTTTCATAAATAATATTAAGAGTTCATTTTTGTAACCTCCTTATTTCAAATATGAGTGTTTTTCTGCCACCCATCTGCAGGCCTGGGCAAATGTAACACATCCTGGCAACTCTTACCCTTCAGGGTGAAGGGTCCTATTATCACTCAACTCTTGGCCTTCACCCAAGACTTGTGCATCGATCTTATGAGCAAACACGGGACAAGATGAATTCTGCCTCAAATGTAGCCTGGCTTTGGGATATTGATTCTGCAGAATTGTTTTTTATAAGAGAAGAGAACGCTTACATTGTAGATTTCTCAGAAGCTCAGCCACCGGGCTTTCTCATAGCTGCCCCTGTTTCTCTTGCCCAAGTGCTGAGGCCTGTGGGAGTCTCTCAGGAAAGCCTGAGAGGGCTGCACTTAGCAGAGGAGCACTGCCCTGATGGAAATAGTGTCTGCCTTGATTATTTCTGTTCCCTTGCCACTGGTGGCCTGTGCACTGTTGGACATCAGTGATTAGCTTATTGAGCGTCTAATTCAATCACTTTAAAGCATTCAAATCATGTGGTTTCAGCAAATGTAATTCTAGCACATTATTTCAGGTCAGTGGTATACCAGTTCTTTTATTCATGCACGTGTGTATTTTATCTGCTGGACTTTTAAGAAGATAGGAGTACATTTTAATTATATACAGGCCCATTAAAGCTGATAGGAGGGCATAGAGTCACATATGTAACATGACAGTGCTTCCAGAGTGGTTGATCTTAGTGCATCTGTTTGCCTCTTCTCCCTGCTTCTGGTCACTGCAGAGAGCTGGTCGGAGTGGTCAGACTGGTCGGAGTGCGATGTGTCTGGAGTCCAGGTCCGTGCCCGCCAATGCATTCTTCTGTTCCCCGTGGGCAGCCAGTGTTCTGGAAACAGCACAGAGAGCCGGCTATGTATATTTGATTCCAATTACATCCCAGGTAAGGGCAGAGTGAGAGCAAGTTCACTGCCTGCATTCAAAGTGGAAATGAGTCCTCCTTTAGAGTTGTAACTGTCCTTTGAGGTCCCTTTTGGTGAAACAGATGATTCTGCCAACTCTTGAATTTTCACGATGATTAAAGTGTAGGTTTATAAATAGATGCAAGTTTAGACTTAAATTTAGCCTATGCATTTTAAGATTTTTCAACCACAGACATTTTTAAGCACAGTGTTATTTCTACAAGTTATTGACTATAACACATGTGGAAGAGTTTGCCCCGAAAATGCCAGTGGTGCATTTGGTTATTTTAATTATTAGGTAAAATGTTTTGTCAATGCTTGTATACATGTGTGTGCACAGAGAAGAAGGACCATTTTCTTTATGAAAACTTAGTGTATTTGGGAAGGGGGACCCCATCATGGCTCTTGGAGAAGAGGAGTCTGGCCCTCTTGCCACTGCCTTTCCTATGTCAAATCTATGCCACTGCCTTTTCCATGTCAAATCGAGTTCTTAGTGGTAGTTGATCACCTGTCACCTGCACACTCTACTGTAGGTCTGGTGTATATACTGACATATCATTTCACACATGCCTACTGTGTGGGTTAGGACTAAGACATGGACCAAAGCAGAGACCAGCTTTAACAAGGCAACAGTAGGTAATAGCTTATCTTCCTCCATTTATGGAAGAGATAATGTTTTATTTATTTTTATTTATTTATTTTAAATATATTTTATTGATTTTTTTACAGAGAGGGAGAGAGAGGGATAGAGAGTTAGAAACATAGATGAGAGACATTGATCAACTGCCTTCTGCACACCCCGCAATGGGGATGTGCCCGCAACCAAGGTACATGCCCTTGACCGGAATCGAACCTGGGACCTTTCAGTCCGCAGGCTGACGCTCTATCCACTGAGCCAAACCGGTTTTGGCGAAGAGATAATGTTTTAAAGAAAAGTATAAGCTTTAGCCTTGTAGGGCACTTTAGTCATAAAGCTGCAATGTTTATTGTTGTTTCTCTTTTTAATCATAGATATATTTTTAATTCTTGGTACCTAAGGAAAAATCAATACGGAGAGATTAATGTTTCTGGCATCCTGAAATGGTGTTTCATTGTGCAGGTGGATTTCTCCTCACAGTGGTGTCTCCCATTGTGGCCTAGGGAGCATCAATGGGCTCTGAACAGGGACTTAGTGTTCTGGCCATTTCCTTGGAGCTCTGGTGGATCAGTCCCCTCTGTAGGGAATGTGACAACATGGCTTTGATGAAACAAAAGACCTGAGGCAGGAACACCACAGGCCAACACTGTGGGCTCCACAGCCAGCAGGATGCATTGTCACTGAAAATCCACTCATTCTTTGGCCTCCTTTTGATGCTAGTGCCCTGGCTATAGCTCAGGGGACCATTGCACTTTCTATCTGTGCTAATGAATCTCACCCCTTCCCAATCAAGGTGACCTGAACCAACTGCAGCTCAAGTTGGTTGAACAAAGAAACAAATATAACTTTAAAAAATCAGGCTTTTGTAACTTTGGCTCACATAAAACTCAGTATCATTGGACGTTTTGTAAATGAACAACTGATATAATATTTCTTCCCAATGCCCTTTACACATTGTGATTGGATTTTTTTTCTTTTTCCAGAAGTATCTGTGGCAAGATCCAGTAGCGTAGAAGAGAAAAGGTGTGGGGGTAAGTTCTTCCTTTTAACTATAGTCTAATTGATTTCTGATATTTTTCTGCTCTTTGGTCAAAGAATGTTTCTATGTTTTTGCCTTTGGCAAAAAAAAAACAAAAAACAAAAAAACAAAAAAAAAAAAACAGACTGGAGAAATTCCTGGATCCCAAACACCTTTTGTTTCGGTAGTATACATGCTGAGAGTCAGTATTTGACATTTGGATTAGTGGTTCTCAAGTGGGGTTCCCAGGTCAGCACCATCAGCATCACCTGGGACTTGAGAGAAATACAAATTCTCAGGCCCCACCTTGAGCTGAAGAATTAGAGCCTGTTTGAATGAGACTGGGCACTCTGTGGTTTAATAAGCCTGTTCAGATGACTGGTGAATGCTAAGCTTTAAGAATCCGTGATCTTGATAACTTAATACTGTATAGGTACTAAATATAGATATGAGAGTTCCCATGAGTAAAACAGTATTCCAACAGTTTGTTTATATTTATAAATCCTGGCAGCCAACCTCAAATCTTCAGACTGTTGGAATGACAAAATTGTTAGGGGGCATAAGATTCTACTGGTATAACTCTAAAGAACATGTTAAACTTCCCGGAACCCTGAATGACAAAAATCAACATTCTCTGGTTCAAGTCTGTGATGAATTTAGACTCTGCTGTGTATGACTATTTTGTCTGGAAGGGAGGGGTTGACTGTCTGTATATCCAAGCCCAGTCCCTGTCCACCTTTGCCAATCAACAGCAACATAGTCTTGTTGTATGTGTGTGTCTATAAACTAATAACCTATTAATAACCACCCCTACTGTAATCCATCCTCTAGGAAAGTCCCAGGCAACACACTTTATGCTCAGGTGGAATCTGGAGCTTCTAGGCATATCTTAGGAATGCACTTACTATTATTAACTACATTTAATAAGAGTTCGCTTTCTGCTTATTCAGCCATCTTGTAACCCATTCACTTAGTGATCTTTGCTGAGTACCCACTCTGTGCTAGTTTTCTGAGTGAACTGAAAGAGCCCCCTGGAGAAAGCTGACAATCATATCCTCAGAGGGACAATGTCTGGTGCCTCATCTGTGTCTGGTTATTGAGTCCACAGACTAGGAGTCACTAACTTGGGATCCAGCTGGAAGATGAATATAAGCCACTTTATATAAAACTAATCATGAGAATCCCCTAATATTCTGAGATCAGCTACTCCATGCCAGATACCGTATTAAATGACAAGAAGGATCCTATTTGATCCTCACAAAGAACATTCTTGTAGGTGCCAAAGTCCACAATTCTTGATGTAAAAAGAAGAATTGGAAATAGGGTTTTGGAATTGAACACTTTTCAGAATGTAGATGGGTCATATGGGGCATGTACTGGATATTACATAATGCCCCAGACCAACTTTGTAACCTGTTCCTTTAATGATGCTGCCATGACAAGTGGGTGAACTGAATATGCTAATGCTTCTCCTGGCGGTTCTGGTCAGTTCTGTAGCAAACGGGCAGGTCAGGCCATGCTTTGTTGCCAAGAAACTGATGAGAAATCACTTTTCAGAGATTTTGGTTTAGGGAATTGTAGAAAATGATCAGTCGTGGGTTTTTATCTGCATTTTATACGTACGGATTGTGAAGGTCAGAGACATGAGACCCTTGGTTGAAGTTCACGTTCACACAGGCAGTCAGCTGTGGAGCCCAGGTCAGATCCAGGCAGTGGGGTCTCAGTGAACTTGAAACTTGGAGCACCAAGAAAAGGGGCCAGGAGGATTGTGTCTGGAGACTGGAGCCACAGCAGCCCTGGTCAGTGACACGCTTAGACAAACCCAGCGTGCAGGATGTCTGCTGCCCTCAGAGGCAGTGAAAGTCCAGAGTAGGTGGTGTTTGTATGAACTGGTCCTGTCTTAAGGGAGGCCACCAGCTGATGTCTCTGCATAGTTGACAGTCTGTGCTCTTCAGTCACAAGTTTGAAAACCACTGTCCTTCGCCCGTCCTTTTGGTGTAAAGGGAGGGGAGTCCTTCCAAGGCTTTTAGTCCTAAAACATCATGCAATGCCCATTCGTGTCCTAAAATGCTGCTTCTGTGTGTCTGAGCCAGGTGTGCCAAATGGCTACCTAGAATTAAGCCTTAGGTGCTATTGAATAAATCATAGAAACTTTACTTACTTTGCACTATTCAGAACTAAGTGGTTTTTTAATTTTATTTTATTGTTGAACATATTACATATGCTCCCTTTTCTCCCCTAATTGACCTCTTCTAGCCTGTCCTCCCACCACCCCCAACCTGGGCCTTCACCACCCTATTATCTGTGCCCATGGGTTAGGCATATATGCATACAAGTTCTTTGGTTGAAATCTTCCCGAAACTAAGTTTTTAGGCTGCCGACATTGACATGCCAGAATAGTTGGGTAAGAGGTCAAATGGATTTGATTGTTGGGCTGATATGTAAAAACAATAACGTCACAAGGATGTTCAGGGAGATAACATTGATGTCTTTTTTTAGCGTGTTGCAAAAAATCAATCACATTTTGCACAGGAAATCAGGCAGTTGAATCCACTGGGCAATTGGTTTCTATTCCAGCTTTGCTGCCCAAAAATCCCAGCCAAAAAAAGCATATTTAAAGCAGAGAGTCAAACTAAGCAAATTCAAGAGATTTAATGGGCACTATTTTTCCTTTATGCAGAAAAATGTGAGTCTTTTGAAATGTTTCATCTTAGAGAGCTATTTTTGGTTGCCTGTGACACACAGACTGTATAACCGTCATAAAGATGTCAGTGGCCCCAGCCTTCCCCAGGCACCTGTGGGAATGATTCATGTGATTAACGATGAAGTATCTGCATACGGATGGAGCCCTACATCTTCCATGTGTTATCATAAAATACGTTATCCGTGTGGCAGAGAGTACTTACCTCGGAATCTGGCATCGACCCCAGGAGTCTGAACCCTAAAATATAAAGCCATGACAACACTGTGAAACCCACAGCTCCTGTGTTACAGCAGCACCTGAAGTGGGTGCGGGGGAGTGTCCTCGGTGCTTCATCCAACTGTCCCAGACAAAATCAGGAAAAGCCAGAGTTTAATGGAGTCCTTTCACTTTGTCACACCATTGGCCAGATAACTAGGTGAAAACCTGAGGTGGATGGAAAACTGAGGTCATGTCTTTGGAGTCTCAGTGCAGATAGGAGCCTGTTAGCTGTGCTCCCAGAGAACCGAGGAGGCAGCCTCAGCACAGTGTCTATACCCCCAGGGAAAAGGATCCATCTCTTAGGATCCTGGGAACAGCTTGGAGACAAAAGTCAGGGGTTGGGGACAGGCAAGAAATATTCAGCGTCTGCTGCATATTGTAGGTGAGGTGAAGTCTGCTTGAAACATCCTTGGTGGGGAGCCTGGGTGGTTAAGGTGCAAGTACTTCAGCACCTGGGTGTGGGAGGCAGACCTGTGGGTCTCCTCTCCCTGAGACCTCTCAGGGCTTTATGTCATGGCTCTGCAGACTCATCTGGAATGGACAGTGGTGCCCAGCAGGCACCGCCACTAGTTCCCTTTGGGGCCAGGTGAACAGGTAGGGAAGGGGAGGTGTTGAGCATGGGTGACAGTGCACCCTTTTGTGGCCAGTGGCAGGGACACTCTGGGGGAAAGCAAGGGGAATATGTAAGGCCAGTAATTCACAGGCCATTGGCTAGCCACATGGGGCCAACCCAACAGAAAAAGGCAGGTCAGTTCTGTTTTGCCTAATTTCCCCTAAGCCCAGCTTCACCAACTCTGCCCACATGTTGTGTGCAGTCTCAAAACATTCATTGTAAAGTGTTTTGCAAACACACCATGAATATCTTTGTTGTGTCTCAAACTTTATTCAGGTCTTGCTTATGTTACCTTGAGGTCACTCAAGCCAGTGCTATCACAGTCATAAAGCCACGCCCGCTCACTTTGCCAATGCCTTTGTACTCATAACTCAAGGAAAATAACTCAGATTCTATCAAATTAAAAAAATGTAAGAAGAGGATCATTTCATGACTATTAAAAGATCATATTTTATTCCTTTGACACAAATCTTTTATTTCTTTTTTTAATATAAAGAGACCAATTTATGTATTTATTTTTCTTTTTATATATATACTTTTATTGATTTCAGAGTCAAAGGAGTGGGAAAGAGAGAGAGAAATATCAATGATGAGAGAGAATCATTGATCAGTTGCCTCCTGGATGCCCTACACGGGGGATGGAGCCTGCAACTCAGGCATGTGCCCTGACCTGGAATCGAACCCTGACTCCCGATTCATAGGTTGATGCTCAACCACTAAGCCATGCTGGCCATGCTTCTTTATTTCTTTGTAAGAGCTCTAGTTTCTTTATAAGGTCTCTGAAATACAATGTAAGTGAAAAAAATTGCTACCCAGGAAAATATGTATGGGTGTGCGTGTGTGTACACACACTCACACACACACACACACAGAGAGAGAGAGAGAGAGAGAGAGAGAGAGAGAGAGAGAGAGAGAGAGAGAGAGAGAGAAGTGTGCAGAGAACCTCGGAAACAGCACACCAGAAAGTGGTGTAGTAGTCCCTAGGAAAGAACAAAACTTTGCATGTGTATATTCCCTGTTACACTTTCTGATGTTATATAATGTGTTTATATTCATAATAAAAATACAATGAAGAAAACATCAGCATTATGTAAGTGGAATGCATTTTCAAGTAAATGAAATAAAGGGAAGGAGAGAGAGTCTGGCTGGCAGGTGAGCAGTGCTAGAAACTGTCAACATATCCTCTCTTGGTGGGAGAGACACCTGCCTGTCCAGGAGCCTGAAGCATACGTTTCCTGGAATCCCATAGACTAGAGAGCGAGCTGCACTTGAAACTGAAGCACATTCGCCTATAAGCTTTACATTAAAAAGTTAAACAAGCGTCTGCTAGTGCATGAAGGTGACCTCCAGAAGTCTTGATTACGATGCATTGCTTTAAAATATACTGGCCCGCCTTGATAATTCTTTTGGGGGCTATGCTATTTTGAAGGAATTGGCATATGATGTCTTTAATGTTGAAGGATACGGGGCTTTCCATTTCGTCATTCTCTTTTCACCAAAGCACTAAGCTGTTCCATAGCATGTTCCTTCTTGGTGTAGCATCACTTTCCATGCTGTCTTCCCAGAGTTCAACATGTTCCACATGGTCGCTGTGGGGCTGAGCAGCTCCATCCTGGGCTGCCTGCTCACACTCCTCGTCTACACCTACTGCCAGCGGTACCAGCAGCAATCCCATGATGCCACCGTCATCCACCCCATCGCGCCCGCCCCGCTCAACACCAGCATCACCAACCACATCAACAAACTGGACAAGTATGACTCGGTGGAGGCCATCAAGGTACGGGGTGGGCAGAGGCCGCAGTGTCCAGATGTGCAAAGAAGGCAGGGGCCCTGAAGCTGTTGGCAAAGCACACAGGTGGTGGCACAGGTGACAGAGTGGGGGTCTAGGTACCAGACCCTCACTCACAATGAACTGCCTTCTTAGCTTTGCTTTGCCCGTGAACAGATAGCATCTCATATTGGGAATGTGGCTAAACATAGCTCATGGAAACAGCAACAAGTAAAATGCTGAAAAGTATTAGGCCATTGGCCAGTGTCCAGCTCTGTCTCCGCTGTGCCTTCTGCAGCCACACGGAGGTCATGCATAGATAAGACCAGGCCGAAGACCGACACACAGTGGGCAGTGGTAATGAGGGCCAGGGCTGGCCCCTTTCCGGAGTCACAGGGTGGCACCCTGAGTATCCTAAAGCTATCTTCACAGAATGGTCAAGCACAGGGAAGCGCTGTGTGAGGCTGGTGGGTTTTATTAAATTTCCCCAGTGTTTTCCTCAGAAAGAGTAAATGACCAATCTCCTCCTCATTCCCAGGAAGCAGGGGTGGAAGGGTATTGCCACTGGAGCTGGCAGACCTGGATTTCTGAGTCACTTACCAACTCAAACTCACTGAGCCTTTGTGAACCAAATAGGGTAATTTATACAAAATGCCGTGAGCAGTGCTGGGCAAAATAAATGCAATTGTAATTCCAGGCATTTTGCATCATAGGTCAGACTACATGTTAGTTACTCTTTTGAACCTCAGTTTCTTCAACTTTAAATAAGTATACTAGTAACAGTATGTATTAGTGACTGCTGTCTAGTCACTAATAAATCCTTCTAGCACTTTTTTTTTGTAGAAGGAGAGTTAACCTGAGCCTATAATCCTTCATCTTTATTTTGGTCCTCTCAATATCTACTCTACCCTTGAATTAGTTCAGCTCTTTGAAAGTGCAGATGCCTGTAGTGACTATTAAAAAGGAAGAGCATCTGTGGCCAGAACGCCTGAGGTAGACACCATCTAACAAGTGCAGAAAAGGAAAATAAGTAATATGAAATTCCATGCTTTTACTTAAATAAGTTCCATCAAAATGTCTTATCCCTATGCCTATTCAAGGTAATCAGAAAGCTGCTTAAATATCTACTCAGTTATACGTGATAACATTCTAAGTGAGCGGTGCTAGAAGCACTAAATGCATTCTCCAAGTGTTTTTCATTAGAATCTGCTAGAGTTTTAGGCTTCCTTGAGGTTTATGTATAAGTTTTCTAACTCTGGGAACTTCCTGCCTAAATCTCAAAAATAGGCTGGAAGATGTCAAAACTTGCCAGCCTCATTCCAGTTATGAGGCAAATCCCTGGTAAGGCCAACAGCGTGAGGAAGCAGGGAAGTGAGGAAACACATTTTCCAATAATGGAGCTTTAGGAGAGAGTGTGAACTCAACATAACCATCTCCAAGTTACGTTCTCTTCCTGAAATACTACTTACATCTTTTATTTTTATGTTTTGCAGGCATTTAATAAAAACAACTTGATCCTAGAGGAGAGAAACAAATACTTCAACCCACATCTCACTGGGAAGACTTATTCTAATGCCTACTTTACAGATCTCAACAATTATGATGAGTACTAATAACTCTTATATATATATATATTTTTTTTTTGGCTTCTCGTAATTCCCTGGTTCCTCAAGGCCTGTGCTCCATGTCTGCCCATGTTTTGGAAACTTCAGAGATGAAGTTTGGATACATTTCAAGTGCATTTCAAGCCAGGAGTGTCCCATTGCTGCCCAAAATAGATGTCCTTAAAAGCAACAAAAGTCTGAATATTGACAATGTGAAAAATTTGGTCTACAGTACTTGTTGAATGAGCCATGGTGTGGAGTTTTGTGTTTTTTTGTTTTTGTTTTTTTAATTTTATTGTGTTCAGTCCATTTTTCTAACAAGTCAATTGTTTCCTTGAGCTTTTTAATAAATGTACCACCTACATTGGAAGGAGTCTTTAGAAAAAGGAACCTCTTCTTGCTTTTGAGCATATATCTTCATGATGTTTTAATTCAAGAAAATATTTCACTTTATATGGGAATACCCCTAGACACACACATACACATATACACACACAAAGAGTGGGTAAGTCCATAGTATTGCTAAAATAAGAATATGAATGTGGCCCTACAGTGATTCACCATGGATCTCCATCTTCCCAATCTGGAAAATACTGTGGAATTCTTAGAAGCAACTTGTGGGTTTGGATGTGGAATGATTCTTGCCTGAGGAAGCTCAGGATGGAACCTGGCTTGCATCTGCAGAGGCGGTTACAGAAGATCTGAGACATTCCACCGTGGTCTTCATGAATTTCCTTTGTTACCACTCGGGGAGGTGAACGAAAGGAGCGGAGGCACAGACACAACGAAGGGGAAGTCGTTCTGCAGGTTGCTGGGAAACTAGCCTTATTCTGACTTTTGGATTTCATGGCATTCCAGGGAGCTTCCGACTGCACAGTTGGCCTGGGCGCCCACCTGTCTGGTCCATTGTAACGTCCTGAAGAGCCAGTCTGTAAAGTAACCATGTGTTTAGCATTTGGATAGACTCTACGCCTCCTCTCTCCTTGCAAAGAAAAAATCTTGAACATTAATGATGACACTGAAGAAAGTATTGAAAGTACTGAAATATGATTGAAAACAACTTTTTAAAATTTTCCATGCTTTGGACAGTATTGAGGGGACTGACATTTATTGAAAGTCAACTTTTATTTCCCAGTATTGATAGAACTGATTGTGGTGACATGCCCCTACCGAGCATTAATTATATGTAAAGCTCGTTCTCTGCCACCCATCGCTGTACATAGTGAACTGAAATTCTCAGCTGTCATTGCCGCCTCTGGGTCAGGTGAGGGGGAGATGTTTAGCTCTGGTGCCTTTTGGTTTTAATCTAGTGTTGCCTTCCCATCCTCTAACTCCCACTTCTCCCTGCATGGAGGCGACAACGTTCAAGATATACCTTGAGAAATCAGTGTATTTGGATATGAGGTTTGTAATAATCCTTGTGGTTCTGAGCATTTTAGAGTGCTGTACAATTCAGAGTGGTCCTCGGCAAGGGGGAAAAAAAAAGAGGATAAATTATTCATCAACAACTGATGCATAACACATGACAGTTGGTTGAATAATTACTGAAAGTGGGAACAAGATTGAAAGTCATCATTGAATGCCTCGGGGCATTGCTATAAAGGTGTGGGTGGACATTGAAATATGTTCTTATTGATCAATGAACCTTCAGATCTGTGAAACTATATAGTATGGGCATTGAGGAACATAGACTTATTAGCATATGTGTATTTTTACCCTACCTGATTTGAAGAAACAGTTTCATAAAGTGTTGGGAAAATCTTATGTTCAGTAATATTGAATTCAAAATATTCTCACATTTCCATATTTACAAAAAAATGGCTCTAAAATAAAATGTAAATGCCAGGTGGGCTCTGGAAGGCCTGGGAGATTTGCAAATGAATGGTGTTTCAAGTCTTTGCTATGGGGAGTTCAGGTTGCATCCTTTGTACTCCTTCTGTGCGATGCAGGGTTGCTTTCTCTACTCAAAGTCCACATTCCAGAGGTGCGATGCAGCCAAATGGTTCCCAATTGTTCTCTGGATTCTTCAACTCATATCATCACTCTCCTGTAAGAAAAATGATCTCATTGTGTATCGCGTTATCTGCTATTCTGAACCCCCACCCCCTATATTTCCTAAACTGTAAAGGTCATTCTATTTCCCTGGGGAAAGAGGAAACTAATATTTCAAAAAAGCATCGCTGGACTTCAAGGGAAATGCTTTCTAAATGACATCAAAACAGGTCTTTAATCAATCTTGCATAATGATAGGGGAAAACACCCTTCATCCACAAACAGAATTTTCTTGTTGTTAATTCCATAACTCTTCTTGTTTATCACTGCAAGTAAATCACCTCATATGTGTTCCCTGACACTCTATTCAAAGGAAAATTATTCTGGCTTTTCTGGCTTCTCTCTCTCTCTCTCTTTGTATCTTTTTTCTCTTTTTCTTCTTACTTAACAGGTTTTAGTTGGTTTAGGATCATTTCAGCTATAATGTAAGCATTTTAACCAGCTGTTTTTCTATCACTGTTGAGCTCTTGCTCATGTGCCACCTCCACACCTCTCCTCAGGGCAGGAGCCCTCATGTGTGGGTTTTCACCGAGGTGCCTACCACTTCTACTGGGACCTCCCTCACACAGCAGCAGCCCTTCTTTCGGCTGGGACATTTGGGATTCCTGCCCAAACCTCTGGGGACACTTGTCACATTTTTCATTTCTGTGTGACTTTTTTTGTTCTCTCTTTCCTCTCCTTTTTCCTCTTACTACAAGAAGCACAGTTATAAATTAATACTTTATGCTCCACCAAGCAATTTAATCCCACTAAAGGAACCTGATGTCAACTGACATTAATCACAGGTTAATTTTTAGGGTTACTTCTGGATACAGTTAAAGTTTGGCTGGTTTTCCTTAGGAAATGATTTTCGTCTCATTTAAATTCTTTGGAAGTGGTTCCCTGCAGCATTCCTTTCTATAGACCGGACTAGTCACCATCTACAGTGCACCACCATTTTACAGAAAAGAGAAAAACAAAACTGCTGAAATTTCCATACCCTCTTTTTTAAGGATGTATGTTACAGGTGCATCATATATATTTTTGCCACAGATGGCTCAGTTTTATTCAATGGTCTCATGTTGGTACATGTTACGGAAGCATCAGAAATAGAGACCTGTTCTCATTCAGAAATAAGATTTCACTCTGCCAAGGAAATGCATTATTAACACCAAACCCAGAGCCTGACACAGTATGCTGTTCCTGGTGAAAGCATAGTATTTTCAGAAGATCATAATGGTTCTGCCGGAGAAAGCGATCAAGCTTGTTAACTCAGGACCAGAGTCAGAACCAATTCTCATTTAAGGAAATATGTTAACTTGTGGCATGATAATAGCAGCCAGTTGAGAACCAGGAAGAGGAAAAGTAGAGATATCGATAGAAAACCACTTGATGGCATTCTTTAAACCAATAATGTTTGGGGGCAGGGGAATAAAATTCATTCCACCATTTAGTTAGAAATATGAGGCCAGTATTTCAAACATGATCATGCTCTTCCTCAACTTGTCGACAATGAAATTCCAGTGCATCCAAGTATTAGATGAACAGTAATTCAAATGGTTTACACGTTAGATAAATACAAGCTCGGAGCAATGCTGGATTCTGGAAAGTCCAAGCTATTCAGCCATGCCACTAAGAAAAGAGCACTGCTAGCTATCCTTGGCAAGTTCGGATAGTTTCATTTCCTATAGACAGTTGCCAGTGCCTTGTTTAAAATGACTTGTTATTCCATCTGATATTATTGGTGCCAGTTCAAAGCAGATGCTTGATCGCCTGTTCTCTGAAGAAACTCATTCTTCTGTGCCTCTTGGAACTCAGGAACAGAAAATGACTAAGAAGCACATCATCTTCAGATGTGATTTTCACCCCCCTCTGGGGTATAGCAGCAGAGTAGGTACCAGGGTGTGTTTAGAATTTAGATGGACCCAGACTCAGCTTCCAGAAACGGACATCACTTAAATCTTACATCCTCCAGAAAACACCTTAGCATTTGCCCTGTAGTATGAATGTTAGTCTGATGCCTAGAGAAGATGCCTTGATACTGTCCTTCAGGCAAGACCATAGAGATAGGAAAACAGACACTGGCTGTTGACAGTTGCCACAGATAAGGTGAGTGAAATGAGAACCACCTAGAATAATGCTTTCTGTCTTCCTTCCTTCCTTCCTTCCTTCCTTCCTTCCTTCCTTCCTTCCTTCCTTCCTTCCTTCCTTCCTTCCAGTCATTGTCAAAACTGCTTCACACGTTCACAAAGTTTTCCCTCTTAATTTAGGTTAAGAAATTAATGGTGTTTTATTTACTACAGTTGGTTGCTTTTCCTCTATACCAGTGGTCGGCAAACTGCTGCTCTTGAGCCACATGAGGCTCTTTGACCCCCTGAGTGTGGCTCTTCCACAAAATGCCACGTGCAGGCACGCATGTACAGTGCGATTAAAACTTAATGGCCCATCCGCAGAAGTCAGTTTTCAGCTCTCAAAAGAAATTTCGATCCTTGTACTTGTGATATTTGGCTCTGTTGACTAATGAGTTTGCTGACCACTGCTCTATACCATGACTATTGGCCAAAATCAAACGAATTTCTGCACTTTGAAAGAAAGCAGAGTCTGAACCTTTAATCCAAGCACCTACATTCACCACCAAACACCACCATGTAGAGCATCAGCAGAGAAAATATATAAACTTGGTCCAGTGTAGGATTCTTCAAAGGTGTGTAGCAAAATGTGTTATGCCATTTGACGTGACTTTGGAAAATGTTATGAAATGTGAAAAGCCTCATTCTCTGTTAATTTGCTTTTGCTGTTTTGCGATACAAAATAAACTCATTTGAGATTGTTTCATTTTTTAAAAGGCCATTTATATATGAATCGTGGTGGAGCTTTTTTAGAATGAAATATCATTGCCTTCCCTTTATTTGAGTGAGGAGATGGAATTTGGTTGCCTTGTTGAAGTGTCTGTGAATTGCTGAGGATTTTCTCCCAAGGCCGGTGAACATGCCGGTGAAAATACTCAGCAATTCAGATCTTACATCCAATTCGAAATACAAATTTCCAATGGTCTTCACTTTTGTTTTGTTTTTCCTGTTCATCAATTCAGTGGTCTTAAATGCTCTCTTAAGAGCTGTCCAGGTTGATACCGAAGAGAGTCATTTAATGACACTTGACAGATGCATTGCTTGCAAAAATCAGTTGAAGACACCAGTTGTGGCAGCCCAGGCAGGGAGCCCATTGCCTATTTCATTGGATCAATTATGGGAATTTAGAGAAAGAAGGGGTGGGCAGGGAGTTACCCAACTCACATTCTCCCAGCCTCAACTCCGTTGAAAACAACCTAAGTTGAAATGAGCTGTTGCTACAGAAGTGAAAATGCCATGTTCATTCACCGCTCTTGGTAAATTGCCAACTCCTATAACCCAAACTTATTCATCTTTTTTTTTAAAAAAAACAAGTTTGATGAATGATTCAAAGTACTGCTAACAGTGCAGCAATCTTTGTTTCATAGTAACCTCCTCCTCACCTCTGTCTGGGACAAAATAGGGAATCTTGATTATGTACAGTATAAATTGTATTATATTTTTTGTACTTAGGTGTTATGTAAATAGTTTGTCTCATTCAATTGTATGTGAGCAGTGAAATAAATCCTACCATTTAGGAAACAAGTTAGTGGCGTTTTTCTTTGCATAGCGTCAAAGTCCCTGTGTACCCGGATGTGCTAAGGAGCAGACACTACTTGAAGGAGAGCACTGCCACAGAGTGAGACTGGATGACCATGTGGGTAAACCTCAGAATATGCTCTTGTTGGTTCTTCAGACCCTGAACCCTCTCAAGTGGTGGCAAATACAGAGCCATCCAGCTTCATGATTCTGTGAAGTAAAGAACTTTCAGAAATATTCCTATGGACAATAAAAATTGTGTGGCAAGGAAAGCCAATCAGGTTTTTATTTTATTATAAAAAATTTTTTTTTATTTGTACCAGAGAGGAAGGGAGAGGGAGAGAGAGATGGAAACATCAATGATGAAAGAATCATGGATTGGCTGTGTCTTGCAAGTCCCACACTAGGGATCTAGCCTGAAACTGGGCATATGCCCTGACGAGGAATTAAACCCTGACCTCCTGGTTCATAGGTCAATGCTCAACCACTGAGCCACACCAGCCAGGTGCCAATCAGATTTTTAATTTATAAGTAGTTGGTATTAAATACTCGATGATTGAACTGTAAAGTTTTATTATGCTCATCTCCTACACACCATATTTCATTCTTTGCATAAAACAAGTTTTATTTTAGAATAAACCTCTTTCAATCAGCATGGACCCAGCTAAAAATATGCCTGGCTCAGGAAAATTATTGAGTTATATTTCAGTATTCATACTCTCCCCCTCTCCAATATCTACATTTATATCTAATATATACATATGTATCCTATCTAATAAAGAGGGAATATGCTAATTGACCATCACATTGCAAAGATGGTGGTGCCCACGGTCAATAAGGAGAGAATATGCTAATTGACTGCCCAGTCCTCAAAGATGGTGGCATCCACAGCCACAAGATGGCGGTGCCCAATCCCCTAAGCCTTACCTGGGTGGCTCCTCACACCTGCCTCTGTAGTCCCCCAATCCCCTCAGCCCTTCAGCCGCCCAGGAGTGGTCCAAAGCACAGGCAAGCCTTGGATGGCAGCTGCCCAACCACCCAGGAACAGTCGAGGCTTATGCTGCTGGCAGTGGCAGCAACAAAGACATAGCCTTCCCCTGATTGCCAGGTCGCATCCCACCCCTAAGGGCTCCCAGACTGTGGGGGGGGGGCAGGCCAGGCTGAGGTACACCCCCTCCAGTGCATGAATTTTTATGCACCACGACTCTATATATAAACATGTATATAAATCCATATATATATGTATGTATGTATGTATGTATATATATATATATGTGAAATTATATACATTCAATTGAGCAAAAGGTTAAAAAGCATTTAATATTGAGCCCAAAATTTAAAATAAAACTATATAAAAATATAAAGTAATGGTATGTTGAGAGAATGAAAGGCCCCATGGGCAAGGACTGGGAGATTTATTAAGGATGGATTGTTGCCCATCAGCAAATGTCAAATTGCTAAGTCTGGAGGTCAGGACATAGGGGTGATCTCTCAGGGCTAGAAAACAGCCAACTGTCTTCTTTGTCTCAAAACCCATCACTGTTAACTTTACAATTTAGCCAGGTTATTTTCTGGAAGCTGTTCAGAAAACAAGTTTCAACAGTGCAATGAAATTGAAATGGGACCTAGGTCACAATGAACCCTATTGTTGAACTATAGAAGAAAGTTTGGAAGATCATCCTTTGTGAGACAATGAGATGTTATGCAACCCAGATGGAAATGTCCTTTGATTGTGTTTCTAGTACCCCGAGGGGTGACAGCTCACCCACCTTGCCGATTTAATGTGGCTAATGAAAAGACAAGAATAAGATGCTTGGGAACAATGGAGAGGATGGGATTTAGGGGAAAGGAGCAGGTGTGCCATAATCTTATGCTTGCAGTACTAGAACTAAGCATTGTTGTTTGCAGAATTTTAACAACCTGAAGCAACAACTCACAAATAGATTCATTAGAGAAAATATTGCCAAGTTTTGTTTGCTACATTGCATTGGATTCTCCCTTTAATGCTTAGATATCTTGAACAGGAAAACTATTTCTCTTGGAAAAGCTGGTCTTCATTGATCTTCTATCACCTGTAAAGTATTGTGATCAGTTGATACTAAGACCTCTTTTCCATACTGCCCTCTCTACACACAGAGATGCAGATTGTCTGTAAGGAAAGAAAATATATTTACTGAAAATTTGCAAACCTGAAGGAGTTGCCATTCAGAAAGTTCTACCACAAGTGCATAGTGTTCCTAAACTAAATATTTTGTTAAAACAGAAGGTTATAAAAGTTCTACTAGTGATGGGTAAGGTTTTCTGAATGTTCGGACAAATGCACACTCAGCAGCCTATGTGTGAGGGTCCATGTGGCTGTCTCCTTTCTCCAAGTATCACTCAAATCCCCAAGATTTCCTGCTCCCAGTTAAGCTGGGCAAAGAATATGAAGTGGCCCAAGCTGCACAAAGCTAGAGTCACCCATTTGTCATGACCCATGCTGGGCACTGTCTTGTTCTTACCATAGTTGCCTATGGACAAGACAGACCTTGCAGCTGGATTAAGGAGATGTATGGATATACGACTCTCCCTGGGTCGTACCCAAGTTCATGGAGCTCTGCTGCACTTGACATGGGTTTGGAGTGTCAGAGAGAACAGGGAGTGCTGAAATAAAGAGATGTCATCAATAAAAGTCGACAGGCTGCACCAAGTCTGTTTTATCAACAAAGCAGAGAGCAGATCTGTGCTGCACGATTGTGCATTATGACAAGGAAAAACATCAGCTTTTTCTTTCATGTTCTGGAAGAATGTTATTGCTTAAATACAGGGGAACTGCTCACAGTGCTGTTACTGCTGTTGAGGGTGGGGATGGGCATTACAAGCATCGCTGAGGATCCCAGGACTCATCCTTTCACATTCCAGAAGCCACTGTGGAGAGTCAACCTCGGGCAGAGCTTTGTCGTGGGGGCAGTTTGGGATCTGAAATGATCAGACTGTGCCCTCCAGAAGCTCAAAATTCATTTTGTGTTTATGTAAGAACACCAGGGAGACACGGATCCATTCTGAGAGAACGGTAAAAATTGATGGATTAATCAGACAGAGGTGGGGGGAGGGCAGCCAGCTTCCCTCTGGTCCTGTAGAAGGAAAGAAGCAAGACCATTTCTTCAGGTCTCTTTATTTTTGCAAAGTGATGTGAGGAGCTTATTAGACAGGGCTACCTTCATACCATGTGCTTTCCTGTGACTCATCAGAGAAGAAAGTTCCCTTGTGCATTTCAGTTTCAAGCAAGGATGCTCAACACAGTTCTAGAAAGTCATCTCTTCACTTAAATATACTATTCGCCCCTCACTTGGAAATGATTATCTCATGGAAGTCTTATATATAAGACTGTGAATTAAAATAATTTGAATTAAAAATAATGTAAATTAAAATAAAATGAATTCTTAAAAATTAGAGAGTATATTTTGATAATTTGAGATTTTAACAATTTAAGATTTTAAATTCTAAGCTGGGTTTCTTAAGGACATCTTTTTTTTTTTACCTTATCAAGTACAGTTGACATTCAGTATTATTTTATATTAGCTTCAGGTATACTGCATAGTGATTAGATGTTTATATAACTGACAAGATGTTTATATAACTGACATTAGATGTTTATATAACCCCCATAAGTCAGTGTTTCCCAAAGTGTGGTACGTGTACCCCCAGGGGTATGGGAAGAGTTTGGTGGGGATATACACTGCACTGTGCTTAGCTGATCCTAATTCTACTATGTTCTCATGAGTACGAGGGGTACTCAGCATTACAAAAATTATAGAAGGGGTACACATATGTCAAAAGTTATATTCCCTATGACCTACTTTACATCCCAGTGGCTATTTGATCAATTTGCATATCTCAATCTCTTTCCCTTTTTCACCTGGCCTTCTCCCAAATCCTCCCCTCAGGTTTGTTGTCTGTATCTATGAATCTGGTTCTGTTTAGTCTATTGAACCCTCAAGGTGCATCTAAGTTGTCACCAATTTGGCTTCTTTCGTCTTTAACCATAATCTTTTTCCCCCAAACTTCTTTGGTAATTATCCCATTTCCATCATGGATGCCATCACATTAGATGCAAGGATCAGACCTATTATTACAGATTTTAGAAAGATGAAAGAGCTAACTGAAGAGAGGATTTGAGGCAGTGTTAGCCCGTAGATTGTTTTCTCTCCAGTTAACATCTACTTTTTTTGGACTCTGTTTTTGTTTTGTTTTTTTGTTTTTTACCTTTCAGATTAAATTTGCTTTTAAAAAAATTTCTTTATTGATGAAGATATCACATATTTGTCCTCATTCCCCCATTCCCATCCCACATCCTTACCCACACATGCTCCCACCCTCTTGTTTTCCATGACCACTGGTTAGGCTTATATGCATGCACAAGTCCTTTGGTTGATCTTTCCCCCTTATCCCCTCCCCTACCTTCTCTCTGAGGTCCGACAGTCTGATTGATGCTGCTCTGTCTCCGGGTCTGTTTTTGTTCATCAGTCTATGTTGTTCATTATTTCCCCTAGATAAACGAGCTCATGTGATACTAGAAATACATTCATCTGAACCGAAAATGAGACAAACAATAATGATTATGCTGAGAGGCAAATGAATCAGTATATAGTGAGTATCTTACTGGGCCAACAGTTCTTTTGAGTCCCAATT